CGAGGGTATTCCCCCGCGCCGCTGAGCGGCGTATTGCACAATGGTAGGTCATGCCTACAGCAAGTTGTAACTCTTCTGCCTTTAACTTTATCATTACTTTGCCTAGGAGTCATTGTAATAAGATGTGTTACTAATTCTTGGTGAAACAGTGCACTGTCTGTTTGCAATATGTCGCCTCTGATCCGTCTGAAGATCTTTTGAGCCGCGGGTGTTTTCTTCCAGTTACTATTATACTTGCGATGTAATAAGTTGCTTCCATTTTTTTTGGGATGACGTGGCCATTGGCAAAAGTACTAAAACTGATCACAGATAGAACTAGGTCTATCTGCGTGTTTCTAACGGAGGAACCATAAAGAAAATTTGAGCACATCTTGATAAGAAAAACCAGGAAAAACCCAATTATGCCAGATCAATTTCAATTATGCTAAATTTGTGGAATCTGGCATCAAAAATGCCAATATGGCAACCCTGGTTGTGATGAATATAACGAGTTATTCCGTACTTCGCCCGTCTCTCTAGCGTAGTTGGCTAAACCGGATTGCGCGGCGAGCGGGTGACGAACTCCTTGTGGTCCGGGTTCACTACCGGGGGTAGGCAGAAAAGCCACATTTATCCCAGATTTACGGTATTTAAAATGGAATCAAAGCCGAAAGGTTGCGATATCCATAATACCGAGCCTAAGGGTTAACAACTCAAGGCTTCTGGATACTAAAACAAACAAACATTCCGCACTTCCCCTCAGGTGCCAGCCGGCTCTTGTCTGACATGACAACTATGGATCCTCACTCAAGACTCGGCGTACACGACGGATGGCGGCTCACCTTTGTGACCTGCATGAGTTGGCAGGGATCTAGGAGGTGCCTATAAAGATGAAGTGTCCAGTCTGGTTCTACATCTTGCCGTCCCTTTTAGGACGCAATTTTTCGTTATTTGAAGCTCTCTGCCAGGGGCCGCAACGTAGCCCGGCCATATATATGGTCTAATGGTTGAACGCGGTTTCTGTGACCTCTCCACGGGTGATCCTCATCCCATGGTGGTACTTTGTGTCATCGGGTGTTTATCGCTTGTGTAATGTCCTGGTGGGGTAGAAAGTCAGTCAGGTTCTCATCAGCCCACCCTCAATACATGGACGAAAACTTCTATTCAACTTTTTCGCGTTCACCAGCTGTCAACTATAGGAGCTCCTTTGCCAACTAATTGGGAGCTTCTTTCGAAGTCACAGTGCATCTGCCTGAGAGGCAAGGAAGTAGCAGTCTGCTTTCAAATGAGTTAATCTGTAAAACAGATGCACACGCAACACCACTGGAACGGGACTGCAGTCCAAAAGTGGATAAACAAACAACCAGAACTTTCCGAAAAATAGCCAGATGTTCACATTTTCTTTAGTGGAACAGAAGTAAATTCACTTACAAAAGACAACAGGTTTCCAGTCTGAGATTAAGCCTCTGTCTGTAAGTATTGTCAGTTCAAGTATGCCCAGAAATAGGAGGAACGCCTCCACCTTGAACCTTGCAGTTTTAATGAGAAGTACCTCTCTTGACAGTTCTGTTGATCCATCATGTCTACTAAGACGCAGACTCCATTGTTGCGTCGGTTATTTTCCCATCACTGTCATCTCTGCCTGGTCACATATTCATTCATTCATTCAGTAGCATGTCCCTCGCGGAACCTCGCTGCCATAACAACCCTCCGGAAAACCTTCCTATCATGAGCAAGATGTCCTGCGTCTGATACACCCATCTGGAGATCATCTGCCACATCCTGCACCCATCTTCTCCTTGGCCTTCCTCTTCCTCTCTTCCCAGGCATATACCCCTCCATTATTGTTCTCTCTAGACCTCCATGTCACATATTACTGGCTTTGAAATCACTCCCTAGTTTTATGGAGATATGTTATCAAAGACTCAAGAAAATTTGCGTTAACAAGGATGTTCACATCTTTTGCAGGGCCTTGCTTGCTTCATTCATTCTTGTCAACATGTCATTTTAAAGAATTGTGAGAAATGCGGTTTCAGGTTTCCCATTATACTGCTATATCGTTCTTCCTCTCTCTCTGTATTCACTTGCTGATCATTAACATCTAATAGAGAATCCAGCACACGTTTTCCCCCATAGTGCACAATCCAGCACACGTTTTCCCCCATAGTGCACACACATCTAAATGTGCCGGTTAAGGGTGTCAGACAAGCGCCTCCCTATAAAATGTTTTCCCATTCCACAGAAAGTAGAACCACAAAACAAATGTATAGGGTCTGAACAAAGAACTGTACAGACAGTTGAACCCTATACTGCTTTAATTTCAAGTCCAGTACAGGGGACATAGATGGAGAACTTATTAGTCTGAGTTGATGAACCTGCGCCTGCAATGCAGTATGGTGTCCAGACATCGTATAACTGACTATTCACTATGGCAGCTTGATAGTGGAATAATAATAAAGAAAATCTTTTGTATACTCTTGTATGATCGGCGGGGAACAAGGATTGGTATGTACAGGTCCCACCTAAAAAGTGGAAAATGTCTGCGCGTAAAGCCAATCAAGTCATCCGTACCTACACGTGGTGCTACCTGTTTAACAGACACGGCTCTGGCGCATAGCGAGTCTCCATCGCTAATAAAATGGACCCCCGGGGGTAAAATACCAGGCTATGGCAAGCCACACAGAAACCTTCGGTGGAGTGTGACCCCCTTGTAAGATGCGGCCGATGCTGGGCCCACCAGCGCGTGGACATGTCCCGATTCCCACTAAGGTCATACCCAGGGAGCCCACCCTGGGTAATCAAAGGCGGAGAAGAGAAACAACAACCTCTGATCTCTGGCAGGCAGTGTTTGGATGAACCAGGACACGGATTGGAAGACTCCGTAGCTTCCCCCACCAAAGACGGACATGGCCTGGGCACCCAGAAATGGAAACGGACATCAACTCAATATACGGTTAATAAGAATGCTTAGATACGTACATCGTACTGCTGTTACGTCGTTATGAAAAAGCTTGAACTGCAAAAATTCATATATGAACACAAACAATATTAATGTTGTCTGCATTCAGGAAACCTATTCAAACAAAGGCTCTCAATTTTCTGTCAGAGGCTATGAAACATATAGGCTAGAAAGAGATGACCACAAAGGAGGCATCATTACATTAGTTAAAAATACTATTGCAGCCACAGAAACTTCCAGAAGCATCAGTGAGTGAACATTTGACTATAAAACTGAGCCACTATTGTTACTAACTTTTACTGTCCCAACAAGACATTAGAACTAAAATACAATAATACATCCACATAGCTGATAAGAGCCACATAATTCTTGGTGACTTAACAGCCATTCCCATAGTTGAGGCTATGCTTCTATGGACACAAGGGGAGAAGAGGTAGAGGAATGGATGGTAGAAAACCTGCTAATACTAATCAATACTAGCCAAATCAAACCTACACAAACTGGGTAAAATACAGAACACTGGTCTCAGAATCATCTCTGGAGGTATGAGAAGCACACCAATTAATGAGCTGGAGTCAACCTGTGGCCTCGAGAGCTTGAGCCTTCAAAGGGAAGTATCAGTGCTTACCCTAACAGAAAAATTTAAACGCATAAACAATTCCATGCACAGAATAGCAAATTACTCAACCAAAAACTGACAAAAAGGACCAAGCTTTTTACCATCTATCAAAATTGTACTACACAAAAAAACAGTGACATCCTTTCTAAAGATCCTTCAACATGGGAAAAGATCCAGGCATACAGCATAGACCCACAGCCTAAATATACAGTCACAACAACAATTCCAGGCATAGACAACAGTAAATATCCACAAGACCCCATCAGCAGACTCAACAGAAAGCAACATACAATAATTCTTAGTCTACAAACACTGCAGGCTCAACTACCACATGCAAAAACATAGGAATTGTAGCCCCCCCCCCCCCAGTGTGCCTGTCAAACAGGACCACAAACACCTCAGCACATTCTGCAGACCTGCCCACTCTACCTGCAAAATCAAAAAGAGGGAACCATGCAGGACCTGCAGCTGCCATGCAAGTTCAGAGGCAACCCACCTGATGGTCTGATTTGAGCATACGAAACCGAAGAGAGTATGATCAGCAATACAAAAAAGCAGAAAAAAACATGTAAGAGTCAACAGAACAGACTAACCATTCCCTTTTTATAAACTCCTTGCCATTTATTAAACTGGCTTAGATTCTCTGGAACAGGGCTTCCTAGGATGTAATATAACTTCCGCTAGTCAACAAAGAGGTAATTAAAAAAAAATTTGCACCATGTTGCATATGGTTGAAACATATTTGTGCCGACCAACCTATTTTTCTTCAATAAATTTCAGTCTGCTGTTAGTATAAAGTCAGACTAGATGCACTTATAAACAAATAACACAGGCACTATCTCATGGAGGGCTGACAGACAGAGATGACCATTAACTAACCGGATAAGAACACACAAGTCTGTGATCAGCTTATAACAGAAGAGCCCAGATACAAGCTTGCGGGCAACTCTGTCGTGTCTTGGAAGGGAAAGACTGAAGTGAAACATTTTGCAGAACTAAAAAAGCAAACCCATCCACAATGCAGACAGCTTCCCAGTTTCAACTGCAGTTTGCCTTTGAGGGCAAACAAGGAGGCAACCAATTTATCGACAGATCAATTAATAGAAATCAGAAAATAGGAAGGCTGGTCATGGGGAAAAAAACATTTCCCTAGAATATTTTTGAAACTGCCAACAGAAATGTTGTCCTTAAATAAGAACATGTCAGTTGCCTCAAAACTGAAGAGATGTCAACAACTTCAAGCTGATTCAACGATGGGAAAAAAAAATGCACCATCTCATGCAGTTGGAAAAGATAATATTCTATCCACAGCCCCTAGTAAAAATAATATTCTCTCAGTGGAAACACAATATTCTCTCTCTCCAGAAACAAACAATCCAGCAGTTGGTAACAAGTAGCCAGTTTTTGTTTATTAGTCTTCTATGTGAAACACAGGGTCAGTCATCACTTCTTGGATGTGGACTCTCGAATAGAGTCACTTTTACTCCTGGAGGTGGACCTCTTCCTTTCTGCTTTGCGTTCTTTGGCCTCCTTAATTCTCGCAGCCAACAATTTCTGGTATTCAGCGTGATCTTCCCGTTTCTTGACCACCCTCTTTTTCTTGAGAGCCAGTCGGTGGCGCTTTCGCTGCAGGACAACCGGGGTCACCAGGCGCTGGATCTTGGGGGCTTTGCTTTTTGCCTTCTTACCTGCAATTGGATAAAACAACTGCTAATGCCATGTAACAACACAATGAATGCATCTGATGTAACAAAAAAGTGGACAATAAACATATCTAGTGGTTAACATAGTAAACACTACAAATGTCCGTAACGCATTTAGAGATGTCAGTAACACACAGCAAACACACCAAATATGACAGCACATTACCTAAAACTGACATGTTATGTAACATGAAAACCTCGCAATTTCAGTGCGTGTGGTGCACAAAAGGGAGTGAGACGGTGCATTAACTCACACCACCTATTCAAATATATGCAGGAAGCATATAAGGAATGTGTAGAGGAAATAGATTATTTTTTAAGTCACACCTGTCCAAAAACAATAAAGTAAAGAAAACAGTGTCCAAGGACAAAAACTATCCTGTCACCCTAAAATAAATGAAGAAAATGAAAATATCACTTACTATCACACATTATCTAGGCTCCATAATAAATAGCAATGGTAATTTTTTAAACACAAAGATCAAGCACCATTGACATTAAAAGTAAGTAGATACACCCCAGTATTTTCTGAAAGCATGCATCTTTCTGGCAGCAAGATACAGATGTGAGTCATAATATCAGTCATTCAGGACAAAGTTTTAAGCTGAAAATGCTATAGAAAAATTATGAGCAATTCAATGGCCAAAAAAAAAAAAAACATTAAAAAGATCTGAACATCAGTTAAATTTGACTAGCAAACAGTATCATGTCTATAAACTGACATTTTTTAGTTACATCATGCACCGCTGCAGACTGAAGGAAAACAAACTATTAAAAGCACAGTACCAGTAAAGAAATCAAATAGTATAGGAAAGAGAGACACATAAAAAACCCATCTGTACATGTAGGTATAAAAAAAAAGTTGTATTCCTTAATACTAGAAGTTTCTGAAAGGAATAGAGGGTAGATATGTATCTGCCACATTAATAGACCCAGACACCCTATTTAAAAAGCATCCTAGTTTTTTTAATGCAACACTTTATAAAGAAAGGTCTTCACATAACCAGCAACCCCAATTACAACCCTCTTAAAAAAGGTAACACTAATTAACTATTGCAGGCAACCTTCACTGTGGAGGTGGCATTTGATGTTAGGAGGGTTGGGCTGCTAGCTACTTCTATTTAGGCAGTTGTTTCATGCATGCTAAAAACAAGAGTAGTTGGCCTTGTCCAAGGGACTAGACAGCATCATGAGAGAGCAGCAACAGGCAGACAAATGTTAATATTAGATTACAACAGATTATAAGCATTTAAACATAGGCACGAAAAACTAGACAGCCCTAGGTCAACAACCTTGCCGCCTGTTTGGAACACTAGGCCCGTCACCTTCGATGGCAGAAACATTGCAGGAGTTTTTTTCAAGGCTCTTGGTGATGTGCATATAACCTAGTCAAAATTTTAACCTGACTCCCCATTCATGCTGACTGGAAGTAGCAATTTTTTGTCAATCTACTTTAACCCTACAGTGAAGTAGCCAGCAAGCTAAGACAGCTCCAGACTGGAGTTTTACAAGATGAAGGTAAACTCTTCAAGGGACAAGCAAGCTGAGACAGTCAAATACTGGAGGAGCTGTACAGGATGTAGGCTAACTTTTGCAACCTGAGACAATCCTTTAATGAAGCCTTCTACTCCAGGTTGCCCCATGCAATGACAAACTTCCAACATCTGGGCACAAGTCTTTCCTCTTAAACTTTGTTCATTAAAATTTCTTTTCAGACATTCTCACAATAACAAGAACATACTGGGCAGTAGGAAGCCAGCTCAACAAGTAAACCAACATGGAATATAGTAATGACAAGACAAATACAAACCCTCTTTCTCTGGCAATGGCCTCCTGACCACATACTGTCGGACATCATCCTCCTTGGACAGGTTAAAGAGCTTCCTGATCTTGCTGGCTCTCTTGGGGCCCAGACGACGGGGAATGGTGGTGTCAGTGAGACCTGGGATGTCCTGCTCACCTAGAACCGACAACATGACAGGGTCTGTACTTTAGGCAACAGTCAATACCCAGATAAGCAGTTTCCTGGACCAACACAAGTATTTATTCAGCTTCATTCACTGGCTGCTGGTTTGTCTGCAGCCATTTACACAGTATACTACAATTAAAGACAGATGAGAACAAAAAGGAGTGAAAAAAGTAATAAATTTTTTTTTAAAAAACAGTACAACCAAGTCAGGAGGACACTACCCTTTGGTCATCTCTAGTGAAGACATAATATTCAAAACAGACACAGGTGATGTTCTGTGGGAAACAGAGAGGTGATGTTCTGTGAGGACGTAATGTTTGCCAGCAGGCGATCAGACAAGGGCTCACCTTTCTTGATGATAACCAAGGCAAGCACACTCAGAGTACTGTCTACGATGCAGCCACGGACAGATTTGCGTTTACGTTCTCCTGTACGGCGAGGACGGTAACATGAGTGGCCCTTGCTGAGCAAGAGTCGGACACGTGAGGTGGTCAGCACACCCTGCTTCATGGGAAATCCTTGCTTGTCGTTGCCACCGCTGATACGGACAATGTAGCCCTGGAAATATTCACAAACATTACTGTCACATATTATACAGACCTAACAATCACACAGCACTACCTACCACACACCATAATCATAACAGTAGCTACCAGACACGCATATAGCCATGTGTTATTTTTTATCTGGTAAGGTAGCTAGCTAATTTATGGTAAAACTGGTCAGGATACAAGACATGACAGAGAATGCATCTTTGGCTAAAGTGTACATATCAAACTGAAGCAACAGCACAATCTCTATGGGTAGTTATAACAGGGTAGAAAGACACTGAGAATCATCCATTCCCCAGAATAAAAACACTTCTATTTATACAATGTCACTCAGAGATGTCCGGGTGGCTTCAAGAGTCTGTGAGGGTGGGGTCAAGCCCACAGACAGAGGTTAGCACCCACTGATATATTCTTTAGCACTGTGTTATAGCTGAAGGTGGTATCAGCACAACCCCAGATATGCTACACATGCATATTACAAAACACACGTGTCTTATAACTGTTGTGGAAACGTAAATGATGTATGTTACATAACCCACGGGACATCATGTGTTTCTACTCGTGCACCATACATATTAACCATTGTGCTATCCTCCAAATAACGGCCACAAACACACCCTGACAGGCCCTCATGTGTTGTCAAATAAAGAACCAAAAAAAAAGGAAAATGACTATATCAACTTCTTAGAAAAAATTAAATTTCTGAAAATAGTGGCACAGAAATTGCAAATAGTGCCAAAAAAATTTTTTTTGTTGCTGTGGGGACATTGAAACTCGGATAAATATGATCGGTGCCGCATTGGTAACGCAGTTTTCGCCACCAAGAGCATCTTCCACCGTTACGCGGGAATATGGGGCTAAACTAGATGGCTGTGATTCACGAGCAAATAAATTTGAGAAAGTTGCAGGAGATGCGGTAGCAGCTGCTTATGAGTCCCAGCCATCTAGTTTAGCCCCCTATCCATGCTATGCGGGATACGCTCGGCACGAAGTTTAATCGTAAGAACACTATCACTAACCTGTGTCAGAGTGAGTGGTCTTTCCGCCATTTCGCTATTATAGAGTGTATTGTTGCGTTTCTCGAAACTGTCAACGGACAGTAATTCTAGTTGTGCCGCGATGTGTTTGTCGGAGGAAGTCCGCATTTTACATGTGATTGAGGCCCTGTCGGGGTGTGTTTTTGGCTGCCATTATTTGGAGGATAGCCAACTATTATATACAATCAAAATTTACAATACACTTCATGCCCCACCACAATGAAAAATGTTTTTTTTAAAATGACATTACCTTCCATTCATCTCCCAGACTGTCTGCAGACACTTCAGCAGACATACGCTTGTCATAAAATGGACGCAGTTTCTTCTCATCGTCCACTTCAATCAGCTTCTGGCAGCCGGTGGCTGGAAAACTTATGTTCAGCTGAAACAAAAAAGATGGCACTGGTCAATCACCCCTGTAACTATTATGTTAGCACCACACACACCAAAAATGCCACGGACTGTGTTGTGTGGAAAGGGCATGAGAATAAAGGAAAAAATAATTGCAAAAAGGATGAGAGCTGAGCGTCTGAAAAGAAAAGGATTATACATTATACACATATGTTAACAATGGTCCTAAAATCCGATGCTACATTTGTGGAAGACTTTTTCTGACACAGACAGGTCTTGATGGCACTAGTCACACTCGTGAATCTCACAGCGCAATATGACTATCGTCTGGAAGACGCTAATCAGACACACAATAATCATGTCAGCATCATAGCACACATAATAATACTGTCTACCTCAACTGACCGGAGAAAAACAAGCAAACAGCAACAGTACACCACTGGCTGGGTTATAAGACAGAGAATGCCACGAGACGAATATTTACTGTTAAATGCCAAATTCTGGAATGAAAGCCATACTCTGCGGATCTCACCTTGAATTTAATTTAAGTCCTGTTAACTGACTTTACATTTTATAGTATTATGTGTCCTTGCATACGAATAAGTTTAAAATGAGTGTCCATTTCAGTCAGTTTACACAGAGATAATCTATTTACATGTCAAGGAATATATATATATTATTTTTGGAGTTTTTGATTTCCATGTTTTAAGTGTTCCTAACTTTGTAATATTACAGTGGCCCTTTACATATGGCTCTGAAATATGGACACTAATGATTTTGGTATATAGCAATAGCTGTGTGCATTGCATTTTCAAGCTCATTTATTAAGGCCCACATCGCTGTGGTATACTGTATGAGTATATATCAATGTCAATGTTAAAAAGTTCCATATTTCACAGCCAGAGTCTGTAAGGTACTTGTAGTCAGTGCTTGTGTTCTGCATGTTTTTCTGGATCTCCATGCTGTGTTTGCAAGGACTAGTGAGGTTTTCTGGGAATTCCTAAATAAAGAAACACCCATCAAGTCATCTAGGTAAAGAATAAATAAAACCACCACATGAAACGCATCATATGAAAAAATCAGATCTAGACAAAGGCAAAGATAAGTCAGTGTAATCCAGCAGGGACTACGCCATTTGTGACCTTTTTTTGGGGGGGGGGGGGGGGGGGGTGGAGACAGATCACTTGTATATCATCATATTCAACGGAGACCACATCACAAATTAAGAAGTTCGCTGTCTCACCATCAAAAACACTGGCAACTAGGAACATCTATAGACACCGAAAAGACCAAATATAATGGTATGGATATCTAAAAAGGGTCTATCCGCCGTTCCAAAACAAGACTGCTTGTCTACGAGGCTGAGCTGGTAAGAGGACAAGAGGCAGACCAAAACAGACGAGATACATAATTTAGCTGACCAGATTAACATCAAGCCCATTTGCACCTGACCGACAAGAGGTAAAGGAAAATGATCAGGCAGTAAGAAACTATGACGGGACTGATAATTTGTTTTCAACGTGTCTTTTCTGCCCTCAGGTCCCAGTTTCCGTGGGCAAAGACGGAGGTGTGGAAAACTGGTGTAGTACTCACATAAATCAAGTATGTGCCTAATCTTGTTTTCTTTCTACCACGTTTTGGGACAAGACACACGGTTGTTCCAGGAATACAAGGTGTCAGTCAGTGTATGCGTGAAATAACGATACACAAGCAGTGTATTCAAATGTAAATAAGTGAAGTACATACTAGTAACGTTGAGCTTTATGTGGCTCATTTACTACAAATGCCAATTATCGATATTGTAAGAAACACGAACAATCCAAAATAACTGGTAGTTTCAATATGACATCGACTCATTATATTAACTTACTTTTAATCAAATACTACTCAAGCTTTAATTCATTACATTTTTGTTGAAAATAAGGTAAAACTAAGTCAATTTGCGTAAATACATACCTTCATGATTGCTATACACCAAGCTCCACAATCATTACATTAAAAAGGAAGTAAAAATTGTGGATGCTCTACGACTACTTCCGTTCCGTACATTGTTTGTTTCTGCTTTTTGCTGATTCGTTGTTGCTTAATCAAGTGAGCTTTTCTCTCGCCTTCGCTATCTCCCTCCCCCCCCCCCCCCTCTCTCTCTCTCTCTCTCTCTCTCTCTCTCTCTCTCTCTCTCTCTCTCTCTCTCTCTAATATATTAAGAGATATTTAAAAAAAATTATTTCAAACTACGAACAAGACCTGTCGTATTTAGTGGATGCAGTAAGTGTACAGTAAGCAGCTAGGTTTAATTATACATTCTAAGAAAACAAAATCTAACTTCGTCTCCATGAAGAAAGAAATACAACAAGAAATCCGTTTCAACGAGGAAATCCTTAAACTCGTGAATCGGTACAGCTACCCTGGAATAAACATAATATCTGGCACAAGATGTCCTGTAGAAATTATAACAAAGATCGGTACAATGAAGTACACCATGGAACAAACACAATTTCTAGCACAATATGTCCGGCATAGATTAGTACAACATACTGCCTGTGGTGAGATTATGCACGAGGCTTTCACTTGTAATGAGTACATTCTTTTTTTTTTTTTTGCAATGAAACACACCAACTCTGTTTACATCTTCTTCTTTTTCGCACTAATTGGGAAGCTTCCTTTGAAGTCGGAGTGCATCTGCCGGAGAGGCAAGGAACCAACAGTCTGTATTCAAGAGAATGAGATCTGTAAAACTGATGCACACGCAACACTCAGGTTCTGGAGCAGGACTGCAGTTCAGTAGTGGACGAGCAACCAGAACCTTCCGCCAGAGTTTACAGCTGGTGAACGTGAAGAAGAAGAAGAAGTTTACATGGAAAAATAGCGCAACATCCATGGGGAACATATGATCGACTGACATAATCAGTAGAACTGGCGGACAGAATAAACAAGAGAAATATAAGATGGTAGAAGTCTAAACGCAAATATTCAAGCAACGGCTGTAACTTCAAATACTGGTACATGATGCACGGTTGTCAATACACTCTGCTACATTTTCTGGACGTTTTAGAGCCAGTTTTGTTATTCTTATAACTGCGATACTATTAGTTGCCCAAACGTGAATCTTATTTCTTCACCCTCTTGAAATCATTCCATGTTTATCTTCATTGTTTTTCTCATGCATTTCTTTTCGAGATAGTACTTTGGAGAGATAATATCCAGACAGACCTGCAAACACTTAGTGTCACCAACTAGAAAGAGAGGGCCAACCAGAGAGATGAATGGAGGCGGGTGATAACTGCAGCAATGAACCTCAAGGGCTCGGAACGCTGAAGAAGAAGATTTCTTTACGACTGCATTTAATTTATCCCTCCATCTCTTTAGTTGTTCTCCAACTTTCACTGGCATATGATAAAGCTGAAATAAATTTGCTCTGAAAATACGTAGAGCAGTGATTTCCGTCACAAGCATGAGGGACAGTTAAGCCAGTTGTGATGTTTATAAGGAGAGATTCCTTACCTAAAATCAGGCTGCAGCAGACTGCGCTGTTTTCAGTTATCCTCGTGCAAGACTCCTGCCCCACGTCCTCGGCATGCGTTACGAATAATGACCTATACTGGATTGGCCTAAACAGAGCCGACAGGGGATCTCGGAGCTGATTAAATTCTCGGGGACTCGCCATCTCCACCTCCTGTACATTGGTGATAACGTTCACAGAAAACTGATTTGGAGCATGTGTGAAGTCCGTTGGCTGAGTACCCCATTAAATGACAAGCTTATGCTCGAATGTTTTTCGCCCCCCAAAAAAAGTCTTGCTGTTTAACAAACGTCTGTCGACCGTGACTCCTATTGTGTGGCTGCTAAAGTGTCCATCCACCGAAAGTCTTTCTGTATGGCAGCAAAGGTTCAGATGTCCCTCGCTCAAAGATTCTACCTTTTTAAAAAAAGGGTTAAGCGTCCGCTAACAGTGGCCACAATCGCCAGACAGCAATGAAAATTGTTCATGGTGCATGCTTCCCAGAAAAGTGCCTTGGGCATCCTGGAGCAAAATGCCACTATCAAAAAAAAAAAAAAAGGAGAGGACAGGATGCCCATTTCCCTAGAAATCTCAGGTCTGCAGATTACCCATGGTGATCCATATAAGTGCCCAGTTCGTAATGAGTGGAAGGCTCAAAATACAGAGGTGAGGTTAAGCAGTCACATCGTATTGAGATGATCATGATGATGAAGAAGAAGAAGAAGAAGAAGGAGGAGGAGAAAAAGAAGAAGAAGAAATGATGGGACCAAGGCGCTCTAGTCCCAAAGTCCAGTGCTCATGTGAACATTTTCGCAAATTTTTTCCCGATCACCCAGACAGTCTTTCTGATCCAGACACTGTTTCCAGTCAGAAATCAAACTACATCTTACCTGATAACACATACACTCAAACACGTTATTGTAAGTTAGGACGAATGCATTACCTGATAACACATACACTCAAACACGGAGTACTGGCTTACTAACCGTTATTGTAAGTTAGGACGAATGCATTACATGATTACACATACACTCAAACACGGAGTACTGGCTTACTAACCGTTATTGTAAGTTAGGACAAATGCAGACTCGACAGTATAATTAAAGCAGGCTGGTATCTATGTGTATTCTTCTCTTCCTCTTCTTTGTTCACCGGCTGTAAACTCTGATGGAAAGTCCTGGTTGTTCGTTTGCTTGGACTTTGGCTTTGAGCCAGGGCCTGAGTTTTGCGTGTACATCCATTTTACTGACTGATTTGTGTGCAGTTGGCTGTTCCTTGCCGGTCGGGCAGATACACTCCGACTTTAAAGGAAGTTCCCAAACAGTCGACTTTTACGACATGCTCATTGTGGGTATACAGTGGACCTGTTCTTGTTTTCCTCACAATGGGACCCCAGAAGCCACATAATCTGCCTTCAACAAAGAGTTCATTATAATGTGGGGGGCTCGGGGGGGGGGGGGGGGGTAAGGGGCATGAGCCTCAAAACTCCGGCGCCAATGATACTGGGGATAAATCACTCCAAGGAACTGCTGTATGAGGAAGAATTACACAGTACATCACAAGAACAACGCTTTGAAGCTTATGAAGTTTCAATAAGATCAATTATGCTATTCCGGATCTCTTTAAATATTCCCAAAGGATGCATCACAGAATCTGATTATCACAATTATTGAAAAAGATCCCTTGGACTGGGATCAACCACAGGATCACTTCTGTTCTTGTGGACAGTATTCCATAGACGATGTTATCCTTGTTGTGAACACGATATGGCTTGAAGGACTGATTTGAATCTTTAAATATGGCAGTTTCATTACTAAGTTTACCCGACTACTGTGAGATGACCGCTGAAAGAAGGGTTTTGTGTCTCTGCATTGCCATTTGCATGTGTAATGTAGATTTCCAGAGGGTTCAATGGTATTGTTCGTAGTTAAAATTGACTGGTAAATTTCAAAGTAAGTTTCTTTTTTCTGTTAAGCGACCACATCACCTGAGATATAGGGAATTCCCACAGCCTAGGGGAGTTAGTGTTAAGTGAATAGCAACTTCTACTAACCCCAATCCCTCTAAACTATAGGATTCCCCTAAATCTCGCATGATGTTGCCGATTAACAGAAAAGAACCAAAGTGATTAAAATTAAATGTAATTGCATCGATATTACGCAGCTGTTTATATATTTCTCACCACAGAGTTCGTGTGCTCGCGCATACCTGAAGACAAACTCAGATCTGAAGCACCCTTTGCACCACATGATTTTCAGACAAAAAAGGCAACAAACTTAAAAGAGACAAATCATGGCTAGGCATCGCAGAGGATGATATCATGAAGGTCTGCAGTCTTAAGGACATCCACCCTGGAATGGATACATGTGCCTAAAGCACCCAGTCGCACCGTCTGTGTCATCACGCTTGATAGGAGTTGTCAGGAACAAAATCCTGTTGCTGTTGACACCGAGGTCCACACGCGAATTGGTGACAATTCAGATGTTCTGATCTACACATATGGGTCCGTGGTATGAAAACACAAGAGATCATGGGCATTCACAACTCGCTCTGCAGACAGGACAGTCCAAGAAGCCAGCAGTGCCTTCTCTATGACTACCAGCAGTAGGGCGATGGAGGTGACACAAACTTTCAAGTGGTTGCATTCACAGGACAATTTGTGTGTTGATTCTATGATCATGATCCGGTAGGTCCCCTTGTGCATATATAACTAACATACACACCTGTGAACTCGCACAGCTTCTGTGGTCATCTATAACTCACATACACACCAGTAAACTCTGCACAGCTTCTGTGGTCATCTATAACTCACATACACACCAGTAAACTCTGGCACAGCTTCTGTGGTCATCTATAACTCACATACACACCAGTAAACTCTGGCACAGCTTCTGTGGTCATCTATAACTCACATACACACCAGTAAACTCTGGCACAGCTTCTGCGGTCATCTATAATTCAAATACACACCAGTCTTCTTTCTTCTTTCGTTCGCCTGAAATAAGTTGTCTATATCAGCAATTTTGTCTCTTGTATAAATTTCACTGTCGTTGTTAGTTCATTCAGTGGTCCATAGAGCTTACGTTCCACTGTTGTTCTTTCTGGCCAAAAGGTTTGCCTTAATGTGTCAAAATCGGTGCAGTCCTGGAGTACATGCTCTGCTGTCTGGGGCACATTTCCACAGGTGCACATGGCTGATACACCTATCTTGAATTTTTTGTTTACGTAATCGGTTGTGCCCTGTTCTGAGGCGGAGGATAATGACTTGTTCTGGTCTGTCCATAATAAAATAGTCGTCTTGTGCTGGGGCTGGCGGTTTCCTGATCGATTTAATGATTCTTTTCTTTTGGTGGTATGTGACTGGTACATTCGGCTGCTCTTTTGTCGCACCCTCCCCTGCCAGTTGATCAGCTTTCTTATTTCCAGGCACTCCACAATGAGACGGTATCCACTGCATTACGAC